TTCCTTCCTTCCTTCCTTCCTTCCTTCCTTCCTTCCTTCCTTCCTTCTATCTGTCGTTACAGGCGGCTGTGAGCTGCTTGAAACAGGTGCTGGAATTCGAACTCAGGTCCTCCAAAAAAGCAGCAAATACTCTCAAGCATGGGGCCATCTCTCCAGCTCCTATTAACATGCTTGTTCTGGGAGGCCCATCTTCTTCTATAGTCACATATACCTATTCTTACCCCCAGAAGAAAGCTATTCAGATTATACCCCAACCTCCTTATCTAGGCAGAATAAATTTGGATTTTGCTAAGATTTAACAAATTCAAAGTATAAGATGCTTTCATAACTCAATCGTTTAATCTTCATAAGGTAAAGGTTTTAACCTCTGAGAAATTTCTCTTTATTCTAATTCTAATATATTTTCCCTACTGAACTAGGGATACAATGCAGGGGTACAGTGTTTTCCTGGCCTGTGTGAAGTCTTGGGTTAATTTCCAGTACCGGGTAGAGGGGTGGGGGTGGATATTACCCTGATTTGCCTGACTTTAGAGATAGCTTGACTGGGGTGACAAGGGAATGAAGGACAGACACATATATAGAAAAGCTGGGATCGGGTGGGCGGTGTGCTCTGATGAGACACTCCGGCAATCTGAAAATGCATACTTTTGATCCAGCAGGTGGGTTACAGCTCACGGCTGATCCAGCGGGTGGGTTACAGCTCACGGCTGATCCAGCAGGTGGGTTACAGCACACGGCTGATCCAGGAGGTGGGTTACAGCTCACGGCTGATCCAGGAGGTGGGTTACAGCTCACGGCTGATCCAGCGGGTGGGTTACAGCTCACGGCTGATCCAGCGGGTGGGTTACAGCTCACGGCTGATCCAGGAGGTGGGTTACAGCTCACGACTGATCCAGCAGGTGGGTTACAGCTCACGGCTGATCCAGGAGGTGGGTTACAGCTCACGGCTGATCCAGGAGGTGGGTTACAGCACACGGCTGATACAGCAGGTGGGTTTTCGTGTACAGTTGAATGGAGAGGATGTGGGTTCCCTTATCTCAGTAGGAGGTTTCTGCGAGGGAACAGTTTCAGGCTGCGGTCCTCACATGCTGTGGTTGGCAGTTTCTGCACACACTGGTTTCGCTGAATGTCAGTCCGCCATGACACCCCTGGACCAGAAGGCTTTGCCATTCCCATGGGTCTGAGGCACTGGGGTCCTTAACACGACCGTGCCCATGTCAACAATCCACATCCGCTCAGGACTTCACTCCCCACAAAACCAACACTTTCCTTTGCCTTTATGTTTTTCTCATTTCTTGGTGTGGTTGTTGTGGTTGTTTTGAGATAGGGCCTTGTCATGTACCTGAGCTGGCACTGAACTGGGCGATTTCTCTGCTTCAGTCTCTTAAGCACTGTACTTACAGGCATGAACCACCAAGCCACCTCACCTCCACTTTTATGTTATACATTTTACTAACATTTCTTTATGGAAGAAGAATTATGAAACTAAATTGGGCAGAATGAACCACTGGTAGGTATGTTAGACCATTAGGATAAAGGATGGAGGTAATTTTAGGGTTCTGATTAGATGAGAGGGACTCACCCACGTGACAAGACAAGTGATTAAGGTGTTCTAAATCACTATATATTCAGATTTAATTTTAGAAAAGTTATGATCATGGATTATTCATCAGCCAAAATAAAATGATAAATACCTTCCTCTCTAGCCAACCATATTACTTCATTTTCCGTGAAATGAATTTTAATGTGATTCAGAGCAGTTTTATTCTCAGAGGCATTAGTAATACCTCTTACTTCTAGAGATAAAAACCCCACCAGAACACTCATCTTTATAATAAACTCCAAACCATCAATAAAAATTAATCAGTAAGGCTGGGTCCGTATCTCAGAGGCAGAGTGCTTTATCTAACATGTAAAAGGTGCTGAGTTCAAGGAAAAAACAAGAAAATAAAACATCAGCAAAAATATAGAAGAGGAAAACAAGAAAGTGTATTTTAATCTATTTTATGATCACCCAAAAGAGAAAATAATATATCTATACAGATAAGACTGAACTGGGTATTTTTTATTTTTATTTCTTGAACTGGGTGTTTTAAATATGTGTTGTTAAAATAGTAAAAATCTTTGCATCTAGAAGGTAAAAAGATATATTGACTGATAAAGTTTTTCTTCAAAGAGGTATTTTCTTCTAAGTGAGACGTGGATGCCTGGAGCCGATCAAGGGTCTTGTAATGCTAGACAAGATGTATCACTAAGCTACACGCCCATCAAGGAAAATTTGAAATAAAAATATGCAGTTGTTCTTGTCTGAACCTTAGTTCAATGAGTTTTTACTGAATTCCATGTACTAGCTACTGAAAAATGCAGCCCCTGAGGCAGATTTTGTTAGGCACAGGACACAGAAATGAACAGCATGGAGGAGGCCTCCTCTTGCTTTTATTGTCCAAGGGATGAGATACAATAGATACTCAACTACCAACTTGTTCATTTATTTATTGACAAAGATTCATTGAGGTTCTAACATGTGCCAGACATTGTTCTGGGCATTTTGAATATAGAAACACCTGAATGTAGTAAGAATTTTCTACCCTCAGGTTGATTAATGTCTCATTATGATAAATACTACAGAAGGAAAATACAAGTTGCCAAAGAAATCTATCCAACACACACCCTACAGAGAGTCTAAAAACTTGCTCAAACACAGGGCCGGGAAACTGATCCATGCATTTACTTTCTTAGAGTGAGTTCAGGCTGTACTAGATTATAAAGCCTGAAATTGATGAGGGAGGAATGGAATTTTTGGGTGCTGACTCAGAAATTTGTACTCATGTATACTGTGCAACCAACAAACTGACAAGGTATACTATACAGTATACACAGTATACAAGGCCACTCACAGGTGCCTCCTCACGGACTGGGCTCCACGGGGGAATGTGCCAGTGCTGCAGGTATATGCGCTGTGGGTTGATGTGGAGATACTTCTGCCCTGCCAGAACACCCGAGAAGAGCCCACTACACGGACCTTATCATCTCCTAGTATTCATCTGCAGGTTGCATTGTAGAGTACAGGGTGCATTCTTGGTCTGTTTTAGAAAAGACTGCCCATGTACCTTGTTTGTTCTGACTTTCTTCTGTTTGTCAGATAGGAAAACACTTATATATTTGTGTAAGTGGAGTGTATGCCTCATAGTCTTTCCTGTCAAACATACTATCAAAATTCAGTGGTTGTATAGCTTAACATTGTATAACTTTTTTTATATTGAACTCATTGTCTTTTGCATGTTAGAGAAGCCTTTACCTCTGAGACACATCCTTATCCTCACCAATCAATAGGTTTAACAAATGGCACATTGTGTGGTATGGACATATTAATTTAAGGTGATAAGCAAGATTTAAATAACTTAAATTTTTTCCAATTTGAGTCAGTATTCTCTGGTCATATTCTATTGGGACTATAGAAGAGAGAAAATGCCAATCATGGCCCATCAGGGAGCAAGAATGAGGCAGGATAGAAAGAAAGGAGGGATTAGGCTGTGAGAAGCAAAGGAAATCTTTTCCCCTGGTATATTGTTTGTGTTTCCTGCGGAACACGAGAAGCTTCAACACAACTGATAAACCAGGATTGCCTGCAAACACGAGGTTCATTTTCCTGTAGATACCTCAAACAAGGGCATTAGAAAATAAATTATGCTCTTAGAACAAATAGACTATGCCTAGAGCCAGGAAGTCTGTGACCTGGAATTTAACTACATTAGCACACCTCTCTCACCCCCAAATCTAAACAATATACCTCATAAGGCCACCTTGTAATCTCACTCCAGGAAAATTCTTAAAGATCAGTAAACTAGTTCACACATGTTTACTTCATTGTTAAACTTTACATCGATTTCCAAGTTTACTTAATCTTTAAACACATACACAGTAAAGACACCTAACCGTGACTTCCTTTCGAGAAGTCTACACCCACGTCTCGGAAGTATCATTTTTCATAAGCCCCCCTTTGCCAATGTCCATTACTTTTGCCTTGGGAAGTACATGTGGTTCTTAAATCGGAAGTGTGTGCTATCACTGTCTCTCCTTCATAACCCCCTAACTTTGCTGCACTCCGACGCAGCCTACACGTCTGCTCTGATGCAGTCAATGATGTGGCTTTAGCTGAGTGGAAGTCAGGAAGTGACGAAGTCTTCAGAATGCTAGTGGTGGTGTTGGCTTTTTCTCCCAGCACTGAAAAGAGCAGGCTCACATCTTCAAGGAATAAACGTGTGTTTTCGTGATCGGAAGGAAATTGGAAGCTAATTTTAACCAACAATCACCCTAGCTGTCCTCTCGTCTGTTTGGGCCACTGTAATAACACACACTAGGCGACCTAAAACTAATAGACATTTGTTTCCCACAGTTCTGAGGGCTGAAAAGTCCAAGCACATGAACAGATCTGGTGTCTGGTCTGGTCTCCTTCCTCTTAACAGCTGTGTTCTACTCCAGAATCTCATGACAGAAGGGACAATGGGTCGCTCTTGGATCTTTTCTATAAGGACACTGTCTTAGGGGGTTTCTATTGCTATGATGAAACACCATGACCAAAAGGCAAGTTGGGGGAGGAAAGGGTTTTATTTGGCTTATACTTCAGCTTTGCTGGTCATCACTGAAGGACGTCAGGACACAACTCAGGCAGGGCAGGACCCGGCAGGCAGGAGCTGATGCCGAGGCTGTGGAGGGGAGCTGCTTACTGTCTTGTTTCCTATGGCTTTCTCAGCCCACCTGATATAACCCAGGATCATCAACCCAGGGATGACACCACCCACCATGGGCTGGGCCCTCCTGCATTAATCACTAAATGAGAAAATAACACAGTTGGATCTCAAGGAGGCATTGCCTCAGCGGAGGCTCCTTCCTCTGATGATTCTAGTTTGGGTCAAAAGCATATGATATAGTGAGATAAGATCTATGTTCTTTCTTTTCTGAGGCTTGGCGAGCCCTGATTCTTTTTAATAGGATGCAGCACACAAAAATGTTCCATAGTTTTAAAAAGTACCATTTAATGGATGGGGCATTTGAGGATGCTCACAATTTGAGAAAGAAACTAACTTCTTACCATAGTGATAAATATAAATACCATGAAAGAACCAGTTTGCACACTCTGATTGTTCTGCAAATTTTCTCTCTGGCTCTTCGAGGGGGTGACCCTTCAGAAAGCCAACTAGATCAGTGGGCTAAGCTTTAAGGTGGTGATAGGTACTGTTTTTATATAAGCAAGGTGCCATTCTGCATCCTTGGCATGTCCCACTCACTGTAGGTGTGAGGCATCTGTGCTGAGAGTATCCTAGTCTGAGGGGAGCCTGGAGGGACACAATGAGATTGCCTGAAACAGGAGTATGTTGGTTGAACTGAACTAGTCCAGGGGATTCATATGGAAAGAGTTCTCAGCCTACTTGCTGCTTTAGGCTAGGGAGAGGCAGAGCAGTCTCAGGAATCCTGTCTCACCTGACTGGATTGAGAGACGTAGCAGAACAGAGCTCACTCCCTTGGCGCGCCTCATTTGGGAGTTCCCAGGCTGAAAACCCATTTGCCTTTAGCATCAGAGAGGAAGATACCGCCACACTTTTTCTCATTGATAACTCTAACAATGAAGGGACTTGTGTCCATTTAGAAGGACACGCCACTTTGAAAAGGAGCTCTCGGGTACGCAGGTGGTGGCTTGTGATGCCAAAGAACATAAGACACGGAAGAGCGTGTGACGGAGAAGAGCTGGGAGTGCCCGAGTATGTGGAGGCGGACAGCACAAAACGATCCCAGAAAGGTAACACATGATTTCAGATGTCAAAGTGACGTAGAAACGTTGAAGTAAAAGCAAGATCAGTAAAGGGAATATCTTAAGATATAGTAGCCACAATACAAGGAAAGAAAAATAGTGAATGAAAAGTTACCAAGCATAAAGGGTAGAGAGCTGGATGGATTTACGAGCATAGAATTTCACAGGAATAGCTGACATCCGAGGCTGTCTTCTTTCTTTCTTTCAGACAAGATCTCAAATCTGTGATCCTCCCGATCCAACTTCCCACTGTTCTCTTTCTCTCTCTGTCTCTTCGTCTCTGTCTTCCTCCCTCCCTTCCCCTCCCCTCCCCCTGCCCCCATCAGAATTTCTATAGAAATCATTGATTATAAAAGATGACAAAATAACATTTTCCTGAACATAAATAGAATTGAAGTTGTCAAAAGCAAGTATTCCCAGTGACCTAGGACACTGTAAGATTTCTGAAT